CCCGATCCATTGGTACCACCCCCGAGCTTCTACAACCTTTGGAAGGGGTAGGGTTAGGGTTGTGATTTGTGTTTGTGTGTGTGTGTGTGTGTGTGTGTGTGTGTGTGAACATGTGTTTACCTGTTTTGTCATGGAGTCAATGAGCCGAACATAAAAGTCCTGTTCCGTTCTGATGCCTGTTGGGACGCAGAAGAAGAGAAAACAACTTAAAGATTTTAACAAGCACAACGTTTACAAAGGTGCATTCAAAATATGGCAAATTAGGTAAAATATGAAAAAGTGATTCGAGTGAAAGAAATAGAGGACTTAATTTTTCGTGATGAGGTGATGAAGAGGGTAGAGGTGCAGAAAAAACATTTTGCAGTTTTTATGAGTAATCTTTGCATTTTTTTCTTGTTGCAATTTTCTTTAAATAAATAACTTTTTTAAGGCTGAACAAATAAGTCAAGTAAAACTGTCTTTAAAAACGAATATGCAAAACAATCTTTGGTGGAATTGTTCACACATGCAACCAGACATCCTGCAAGCTTAAAATAAACGTGACTCAACTTCTGTGCCTCTGTTTTACCACAAAATCGCACATTTGCCACACAGGACTTTGCAGATCATTAGATCCTGGAGTCTCAGTTTCCAGTCATGATACAATGAAAACTGATTCAAACACCCGGAAACCATTAAAGACTCCTGGTAATGCTTCATAATGACGTTAAATATTTGTCGGCTTTTGTCTCAAAACGTCTCACAGTCAATATCACTTGTAAATTCTCCATCTCCACATGCAAAAAGATACTGAGATCAATAATCTCAGTTGTCACACTGTACAGTACGAGCTTCATGCCATCATCTTAATCCCAGAGGAGGCCGCTGATGCTGTTTCCCTCAGAGCTGCAGACTGAGCTGATGGGCCTGAAACACCACAACCCACAGCTCCCACAACAGCAGCTCACACACACACACACACACACACACACACACACACACACACACACACACACTTTGGGAGCAGCAGCTGCTCTGTGACAGTGACATTCACCCATAAATCAGTCAAATGAAACATTTGTGAAACATTGAAGTGCCACCTCTGGCTTGTTGGTCCTCGTCTACACAGTTTCCCCACATTTAAATCTTAAAAAATAAAAATGCATCAGCTGCTTCCTGTGTGTATTATGTCACCAGACAGGAAATCTATTGTGAAGGCTGCAGGAGTGTGTGTCTGTGTGACAGGATCTTCACTCACCGTTACTGTAAAGAAGCTGCAGCCGGTAATGAATCCCGTTATTGGTCTTCTCTCCGCTCGTCTCCTTAACACACAAACACACAACAAACACTGAGCTGCTTATTGAAATATTGGAAAATTGTTTATTTGAGGCCCCTCTCTGCAGGCGTGTACATGAAGTATATATGTGTATATATCCAGGAGGGGATTGAACTCTCCACAGCGGTCATGCATTAAATAAACATGTAATTCATGTGCACAGCAGCGGATGTATTAAAGCAGCCCAGTTACTTCTCCGTGCGTAATCACGGTGTTACAGGGGCTCTTCTTTTTTTAATTCCCCTGTAATTACTAGCTCTGTTCACAGGGGCAAATCAATCCAACACCAAAGTGTCCCGTGCGCCGCATTTCATCTCATTTAAACGGTGTCATAATTGATGAGGAGCGCGGTTGACACGCGGCTGTTTGCGCATGAACAAGTGGTTTTGTTGGATGAAGCAGTAAATTAGAAACAATTTTTAAAAAGCCCACAAAGGTTGTTTTTTTGTATTATTATGGCATATGTTCAAATTAAAAATTAATCGAGGAGGTGTTTGAGGTACAGAACATGTTTGATTATATTTTACCTGGGTCCCTTACATTTATAATTAAGTTTAAACAATAATAATAATAATAATAAAACTAAATAATAATTGTAATAAATATAATAATTTTGATAAGTTATGTTCCATTAAATTTTAACATGTGACATTAAACACTGACATCAGTAACCTAACATTTCAAACCACAGGGGAATATTCAGGCCTTCAGTGAAAATCTAAATGGTATAAATGATCTTTCAGGATATTAAATGTACAAATGATCACAGTGAGTTTCTGCACCGACCTTCTCCTTCTCGATGAAGTCCACGAAGTTGGTCCTCTCGATCTCCACCGGCTGACCCTGGCGGTCGTACAGAGCCAGGACGAAGTGGAAGAAGTTGGACTTCCGCAGGTTGGAGGGCGGCTGCTTCTCGAAGTGAGCCCGGGCCAGACCCACTCCACTGCGGACACACAGGCGCGAACAGAGTCGGTGTTGGAACAGTGGTGAGGCGATAAAAGTTTTACTCAATTCAAAGGATTTTTTTAATTTTTTTGATCAGGCTGATGTTGTTACAATTTAAAAAATCTCCCCAATAAAAACAATTGTTTTCAATTACATGCAAATGTGTTTATATTGGAGGTCAGTCCTGATGATAATCTGTGACAGGTCAGGATTTATCACCCTCACATCTCTGTCACTCTGAGACAACATCATCATTTTATTCCCCTCAAATAAAACTATGTTTGTCTAGAAAAGTTGGAGGATGGCCATATTCATTTTTCTTATTCAAACTCAAAGGAAAGGCCCAGATTTATGTATTTGTTTTTTTGGTTTCATTCCTCTTTAAACTCAGCCAACTGGACAGAAAGCGCATGTTGCATGTAAAAAAAAAATCACACACACAAACGGTTTAGAATGAGAAAATGTTGTGATCAATGTGTTGATTTAATCTGCATAAAAATCTTAAATTCTCAATTTAGCAGCAGTTATATCCATTTTTCTCCTCCAGGCTCCTCATCATCGCAGCCTTGTGTCCTGCACAGGCAGCTGTAGGTCCTGACAGAAATTTAAAAAATCCATGGGTAGGTAAAGGAGGGTGCTGCTGTTTCCTCCAGGAAGGACGAGCTCACCTTTGGGCGGCCGTGTTGGCGTCCAGCACGCCGCCCCCCTGCATCCAGCCCCGGACTGCGTTCATGCCTCCCAGCGGCTCCTCCTTCAGGCTGCTGCCGCTTCTCTGGATGCTCTCCTGGATCCCGAACATTAACAAACCTCCGAAGATCTGCTGCCTCTAAACCTCGGTTCTTTCGGTCTCTCCCCGCGTCACCGTGCACTCCTGATCTTTCACCCTGATTCAAGTGGAGAAACGTGGGTGCGCTCTTCGCTGCTGCTGCTGCTGCTGAGTGCGCTTCGCTGGAAATCAGGCAATGAACTCTGTATTCCTTTAATTCTAGTCCTGAGGTGGAAGTGGGCGCTAGAACTGATGAGAAATCACATCTGAAGAGTAGAATCCGAAATGCCAGTCACTTGAAACACGAATTTAAATCGCCACACGGACGCCAGGACGCGGACTGACCCAGTGCGGGAAGGTGCGTAAAAGTCACTCCTGGTGTGCTCGGAGATCCACAGTTGGAGCTGTCACAGAGAAAACATAGAGATCAGCTCGCACCTAGATCACATGTCATCCTCATCTGACGCTTCTTTCTTCCCCTTTTCGCTCTTTGCTTTCTCTTCGTGTCTCTCGACCCAGTGGTGCGGGACTTTAGCGGAGGTCCCGAGCAGCGCTGCTTCCTGCGGCTGACTCCCGACACTGCGCTCCCTTTCTCTCTCTCTGGAGGAATACGCTTTGTGACTCTTCCCAAAGGACTCACTCTGAGAACCAAACACGGGCTTCTCCCGCCCGAGGGGGGGAGAGGGAGGATAGGATGGGAAGGGAAAGGGAGGGGAGGGGAGGGGAGGAGACAGACAGGACGGGAGGAGAGCAGAGAGGAGGAGGAGAGGAGGAGACGCCCCCAAACAAAGACGAGAGAGTCAGGTCCGCGGAGCCCCATCTCCTTATCATGCTCCCCTCTGTCCTCCGCTGTCCCGCGTGTCCCGGGACCCGATCGGTCTTCATCCAATGGCTTTTTTGTTTTTTGGGGGGTTTCTTTACACAAAAATGTCTCAAGGCAAAACGTTTCTCTAGAAGTGGAGAATAATTCGTGTGCGCGCTAAAACGCCGAAAGTTTGTGCGGAAAAACTCACTAGGAGGACTTAATGATCTAAAAAAAAAAAATACACTTACGGTAAATAAAGGAAAATGTTTTTATGATTGGACCTTTAAGAAAAGACATGGAGATATTATTTTCTTCCTTATAATTTCTAAGCAATATCACAGCAAACATTTCATCATATTAACCAGATTCATTTTTGCTCTGATGCAATTAAAGAGATTTTCTGGCTAAAAAACTGTGAATTTAAAAAAGTGAAAATACGCAGGGATTAAACAGACCCATTATTAGACTGTTTCATCCGCAGACATTTGGAGCATCTGATATGAACCCTCCGCCAGAACATTTAACTTTTTTTATTTAGACCAACTTGTTATAGGCTCAATCCCAAAAGCCACATCTCACCGTCCCAACGCATTGTCTCCTATAGCCTCTCTCGTTGCAGGCAGCAGCGCCGCAAGACGCACAAACTAAAGTGACAATAACAATAATTAGCTCAAAATAACAATGAACATAATTGAGGATAATTGCTACCAGATTTCCCCGCTTTGTCTCTGCCTCCAGCACCATCTGTTATTTCAAACAATTCATCACAGCGCCGAGAGCAAGGGGATCCAAGCAACAACACAAATATTAATAGCCTGGATAATTCCATGAGCTATTTTAATAAAATAAAATGTTTAAAAAAAATGAAATAAAAATAAAGCGACATGGTATTGATCTGTCGAAGTGCAAAAGGTCAACAACTTCTGTATTATTCAGTGAGAGAGAATGATTGGCAGGGCCAAACTGGCGCCGCTCCAGGCTTTAATTCCCAGGGGTTATTGAAAAACGCTCTTGACCTTGATTATACTATAGAATAAAAGTCTTTTATGCGGCAGTTCCTGCTTATATGTGCAGGGAGAGACGGTGTGTGTGAGGTTTAAGCGCGCTCACAGCTGAGGGAGGAAATATGTGAATGGAGGAGTGTGGAGAGGCTCCTGCTGCGTGGATCGATCACAGTGAGAGTGTGAGCTCAGTTTATTCAATTCAACAAATGAGATTAATCTCTGCACGTCAACTCGCCACTAAAATTTAAGCTTCTAATTTCATTCAAGGTCATTAAAATACCTGGTTTCGGTCCTAATGCTAATGCAAAAATAAAATGTCAAAATTTGCACCATAACTATTAGGAGGGGATATTATCGACATATGAACAGTGTGATTATGGAATGTGTTTTAATTTAAGTCTCATATCAAAATATATTTATATAAAATAGTGATATAAGATGAATTCCAGCTCCAATAGATTTATAAGAGGTTATTAAATACAGAGAGAAAAGGGGGCCACTTTAAATTTGGAATCAGTATGACATGTGCCTAAAATAAACTACAGGGGTATTTAAGTGTTATACTGGATACTTGAAAAATCATAAATGATAAGACACATAATTAGGAACCTGATAATATATTAACAAGCAAAGAGGAGCCATGTGAAGAAGAGGAGCAACATAAACACAAGATCGTGTCCGAGTTAACTCCACTGGATCGTGCGTAATGATTCCACACAGCTGAGACTCAACAGTGCGCGCGCTGTTTCTCTCCAGCTGTGGTGTATGAAAATAACTATACAACAGCGCCATCGTGTGTCCAAACTGCGTAGCGACATGGCTCACAAAGGGAATTCGCATAGCTCCACCAAAGTTCAACAGTCCCCTTTATGAAACCACGTTATCTCACTAGAGCCAGATATTTTTTGGGATCTGCACCAAACTGCACACAAATATAATTTCCCTAAACACGTCTGCTTTGGTTGATCAATTTCCATGAAACATTCTCTGAGAAATCAATAAAAAAGTCAAACAAAAATGCAATACCTCACAATATTATAGAAAGTGAAGGAGAATACCTGAATCTGCCCGTTGATCTGGATCCACACCAAAATGTAATGGGTTCTTCTTTGGGTCATGTCCCACCTCTCCACAAAATGTCATGGTATTCAGTTGTGTAGTTTTTTGTGTAATCCTGCAAACAAACAATCCTTGATGAAAAGTTTCAGACATATTTACAGCATTGCCGTGAGTGCAATTCCAAGCAGATCCAAATAAAAATCTGTGTCTAGGGGATTTAATAAGTGTGGTTAATAAGGATGTAGGTTTTTTTCAGCTGCTGTGTGGTGACAAATAGGAAGTATGTGTAACCACAACCAATGGGCAGCTGAAAGACACTATCAAACATCATCATAATTGCTTAATTAAGTCATAAGTTCAAGCATCTAGATAAAATAAAAGCAAGGTCCAGAGTGGATGGTTCATTTTATTTCTGACATTCAGTTGTTGTAAAATAACCAAGGCAATGCCAGGCATAAAATCCAAAACCGAACCATGGAGCAGTTTGACAGAATACGACTGGCATTCAGAGTCAGGTTTTACAGAGCAGGTCCTGAATGTGTGTATGGAGAAAAATATCAGAAAAATAAAAATTGTGAAGGGAGTTTCAGTCTGAACAGCCCCGAACATGACCAGGCTTTTTTTGGACGTAAATCTCAACACATCTGTCAGTCAGAGGCAACGATACTGGACAGCAGTGTCTGCTTACTGTTGTTTCACACAAAATAAATGTGGTCAGATTGCATGTGGCTGCTCTCCATTCTTTAACATATTCGCTTGCATGTTCAACATAATAGAGAGATGATTTTTGCACTTTTGGACTGATGGGAAATGTAACGTTTTATAATCTTTAAAACTTCACTCGAGCTCAGGGTGGAGATGGAGGAATGAGAAGATGATGCTGCTCCTGTGCAGAGCAGCAGTGAAGGCTTGGTGCATTTGTTTGGCACTTTAGCTCGCAGGCAAAGAGCCTAAACAGTTGCTGATGCATTTTAAATGAAGTCAATCCCACAGCTGAAATATATCAGAGATGCACCAGAACGTAAATAATACATTTAAAGACTCAACTGAGCTTTCTCTATGGGTTGCACCATCAGATTGAAATACTGAGTTTAGATTACCTTTAAACATTAATAGAACTGTACTTGACAGTATTTAAAGGAATATGTCACAGCTCAGCTCCTGGAAGGACTGAACTTTGTCAAACGTAAAGTGCGAACTCAGCCAATGCTTCAGGAATCGAGAGCTGACAGACGTCTCTGACACTCGTTTATCACCTACTGCTGCGATGCAAATTCCCATACAGTTGCCAATGACAGTTTTCACCTCGTGGAGCAACTGACATTTAATGTTGCAGGTGATGTTTCTGAACGACACTATTCAAAAATGCTCCACAAGGAAATCAAATTTGTTCAAATCTTTGTAACCATTTCAATTGCCTCTTGAAATCAAAGCCTGAAGAATGGATCTAATAATAAAATGAGATGTTCAACAATACAGAGTCCTTATGTTCACCTTTCATTGGAACATGTGCAAAATACACCAAACTCTACATTTCATTTCTTAAAAAAAAAGAAAAAGAAATAAACACAAACAGTTAAACAGCTTTGGCCAGGTTTGATCCTACATTGATCATGTATTCATTCTCAGCCCTGCAGCCAATGCTTTGTTTAATGTCAAGATCAAAGTCATTCATAGTATAAGACCTTTAGTACTAGTGGTAGTAAGTTAATACTGTTGAGGGTTGTTAACTACTGCCTCTCCTGACCATCTGCACCATGCTGATCCCACTCCTAACATTAGAGGGCACCAGAGTGATCACACCAGCTTGAGGACGCGTCATACAGACAGGAGAAGCAGCAACACTGGCTGGTCTCAGATCAGAAACGCTTGATTTCCCCAAAAAGCTTTTCGGCCACAAGTTTTGTTCTTCGTTCACAGGTTAAGTACAGAAACAAAGAAACCCTGAGCCGCTGTGAAGCTTCTGAGAACTCAAGCCCTACCTAGTTTTCATGTCAACACTCCTCTGGTTTAATATAGATGCCATACAGAGCAACATTTATATACATTACACACAAACAGATTGGGCTGCTTCCTTGTACACAAACACGTCAGAGGGTATTTGGTTGCTGACAGCCACAGAACAGCTTTGGAGCGTTGCTAGTATAAATGACATTAGTGCAAATGCGACTCAAAAAAGACAAAAGAAAAAAAAAAAAGAGCGAGTGAGAGAAATGTTAGAAAAACATTGGTAGCAAGGTTAGAGAACACGGAGGACAAACAAATAAATGCTATGGTAACCGTGGCAGCGTGCAAGCTCTACATATAAGCGTGCATTAGGATTCTGCATTCTCAAGTTTAAGTCTTTCATTTAAATACTCTGACTTTTCAACACACACATACACACACTCCTCTCCATACTGCCCCATCTGCTAAGATAAGTATGTGTGTGCATGCCAACGTGTATGAAATAAAAAAAAAGCTATCGTAGCTCAATTTGCTGGTATTAATGTTTCATGGGGTGAAGTGACCGAGCAGCAAGAGGATAATAATGATGTTCTTAGGAAACACAGGGAGTTTACATGTGATTGAATCCTACCATGAAAAGAGTTTTAACAATTGCTGGGCTGATAAACTTGGGATGGACTGGTACAAATGGGAGGATGAGCAGGGATGAGTACCATAGTGAAGTAAAGCCAGTAACAACAAAGTTTGGGCTTCTTGCCGGATCTGCAGGACAATGCTGACGCTTCAAATCCAAACTCTGGTCTGGGCTACCTTTTTTATTTTTCCACCTCCTC